TATATATATAATAAAAAAGAAAAGAAAAGAATGATTAAATAGAGTCTATAATTGTAAAATTTAGTAATACTAGAATGTTTCATAGATGTGGACTTATCAGAAACAAATGATGCTGAATTGGATGAGGAAATGGGTGAGGATTTTTTTGTTAGAAATGGAGTAATGATGAGAATGATTGATTCGGATCATGAACAATCTATGTCTACAAAACGATACCATTTTGATGTTGATGAGTCGAAAATATATCAGAATGTCGAAGATTATGGATCAAATGTAAATGAAAGCGCTTCACGTGTTATTGTCGAAGTTTCGGCATTGCCTGGAGATGGCCGGATGTTTCATATTTCTGAAATTTTACCAGGCAAATATTTGGTGTTTTTATAATCATTTTTGGAAAGTGAAAGGACTACTAAAGTTCATAAGACTAACCGCATTTTGTTAAAACTAAAGAAATGCTTTAAAATTTCATTTTTTTAATAGTAAAGCGTTTTTATATTACGGAAACAAGGTTCGATATACATTTGAGTTCCTGTATATATTTTTTATACATGATATTTTTATTTAAATTTAATAGGCGTTGCCAACGAAGTGGAGTCATATCCTTGTCGCTACTGTCCCGATCGTATTTTTCTGACTTCTGATGGTTTAGAACGTCACACTGAAATGGAACACATTGATAAAATCCCTGAAGTTATGCAGGAAATATCGAGAATTTATAACGAGTGGAGGAGGTACCAATGCTATCTTTTTACATTAAATCGTCTCGTTGTCAAAAACAAAACAAAACATCCATGACTGCTTCATGTTTGCACACTTTAACACCGTACTGTTTTAAGGAGGGAAAGAGTCAAAGCTATCGTAAAGAAACGACGTGAGGCGCTAAAAAAAACAAGAATGTTAACGGAGATTTTGAGAACATCCCGTAAGCAATTCACTTCGTAGACAGCTCAATCTGTGGTTAAACCATAAGTCATTATTGAAAGACAATTTTGATTAGTTAAGACAGAGTTCTAAAATTGATCCTTTGTATGTAGTAGAAAATCAATGATCTTTAAGGAAATCACCGTCTTATTTTGTCACATTTTGAGGTGATCTGCGTTCTGATGCATTAGAAGTTATTATTGACAGTGATAACGCCGGTACTCTAAACTGTTGCATTTGTGGGCTTACTTCTAAGAATAACTTGGAAATGATGATTAAGCATGTTCAAGCACATCGTAAAAATGATGACCTAAAGCGGCGACTATTAAAAGATCATGGACCTGACGTAAGTATTAAAAATTTCGCTTTTCTACTGTTCCAGTAGAAGTTAGAAGACTCAAATAATTTAGCTTTTTGCTTGAATAATTTTCTTGATTCTCAGACTTTTTCAAATGTACTCAATTATATTAAGCATATTGGATTGCAGTATGTTGCTCGCTGCACTTGTAATCAGTGCCATTGGGTGTTTATCAATGAAAAAAATTTAACAAAGCACCAAGAGTCGTCACATATTAGAAAACGGAAGTAAGTTTATATTATATGATTTTTATATTTTATTTATATTTTATACTTTAAAAATTTATATTTTTGTTTTTTTTATTTTTATATAAAAATTTTATATTTTTGTTTACTGTCGAAGTAAAAACAACCATTCAGACTCAATAATTGATCGCACTTTTAATGCTATTATCGATACTCCGAGATTCAAATTCTTTTACAGTTATTTAGTTTTGATATTGTCACCAAATTACAGAAAAAATTTAAGATAACGAACTGGAGAGTGAGCGCTTGATTTACTCTTTGGTCTTTTTTCAGCAATATTCGAGAGAATAAGATCATAGTCTGGGAGTTTAGTTTATAATTTAGACTATATATATTACGAACAAACTCTTTATTTGATTTTTCGAAATCTATTAGAGTTGTTTTATTTCCATTTGATTTCAGATTTGTATGCAAATGGTGCGGTGATGTTTGTTTATCATTGTATGAACTTAACAGTCATAAAAAAAACATTCATGGTTTATTTTATAATCGACAGGGAAAATTGCCATTTGCGAATAGGCAAAAAAAAACGGCATCAAATGATGATACTTTTAATGTTAATACTCGATTAGCTCAAAAATATGCAACGTTGAAAGATGATATTGAATGTGACTCACAGGAATTTGCTCTCGTAAAATACCAGAGCCCTTGCACGTAAGTGAATAACTTTGAGTAAAAAATTCATTAATGGTTTTTTAAATTGAAAGTTAGTTAATATAAAATCAAACTGTGGAGATGACCATGTATGTTGATGATGTCTCTTAGATATTTCTTTTTGAACATAACAATGAAAAGTTTGTCAGTGTTTGTTTTTGTAATTTCAGGACAAAATGTAGTGAGTGTGGTTTGGTAACTGTAAAACCATCTTTGCTTATTCGTCATATGAAACGTGTACATGGCAAAAGTTCTTTTTCAACAGTGATTGAAGTGAAAGGAAAACCAAATATAAAAGTTGATATGAATTGTGGAAAAGTAACTTGGTGGTGTTGTGATTTGTCTTTCGATGATAGGTTAGTTATTTTTATAGCTCTTGATATCATTTGTGGATTTTGAGGGATTTTTCAATATTAACTTAAGAATTTTTTGTGAATAGAAAGTTACTTTGCCTTATTAAATTTACAGACATCGTTTCATCCATCATAGAAAGACTTGTCATGAGTCTCTTGCCATATGTAGTAATTCGGTGAATGTTCGCAAATGTGTTCCTTCTAAGGTCCCAAGTAGTGAAATCGTGGGCAGGTCTGAGGTTGTGCATTATGTCAATACTGACAAAACATCAACAGATCAAATATATATTGTAACAGCAGAGGGAAATAAGCAAGGTACTAATTTATGTATTTTGCTTAAATTGTAGTTAAAACGAACTTTGTATTTTATTTTACTTTTTTGCTTACAGCACCATGTAATGAAACCGCTGTGCGGGAATTGCGAGCAGTGGATGCGATATCAGAAACTTTGCAAGTAGCATCAACAACTGGAGAATATGTACAGTTATCACAGCAAGTTGAAGATTTTGATGGCTTGGTTAGCTTTTATTTCATTATAGATGTAATGGGTGTTGCTTCTGTTTTTATATTACAAAAAAAGTGGTCAACATACTTCTTTCAGCAGTTCTTTCTTGTTGATGATTTGGTGGTTAATGAGCCATTCTCTCGAAACGGTGTCATGGAGTCAGCAGTCGATTTCATGGTTCAAGAAAACGATATGTTGAATTCAGCGCATATATCGTCATCAAAAGCTTCATCCACGCATGGCAAACGTTATTCTAGCATAGAAACAACTGATTCAGATTTCTGCTTGGTTGATGTAACCGGTAATGTTGATGAAGAAATGTTACAGAATGATCTACCTCTGCCATCAGAAAGTTTGATGAACATGGTGACAAGCTCACCAGATGTTGACATATCAAACTCAACATTTAGTTGTAATACTATGGTAGGTGATTCTGTAAATCATAGCTCTGAAGGGGGGCAGAGCAATATTCTTGCTGGAATTAAAGTTGCTCCAGTCACGACGATTCCCAAAACTTCACAGCAACTCTACGACAATATGTCATGCTCTTCAGCTGTAATATGCCATGAAGTCAATGGCATTGAAGTAACATCGGTTGCAAACTCATTTTCAGCTTTTGTTTTAATTAGCAATAAAGCAGATATTGATTCGCGACCAATTATTGACCACATGGATAGTATCTCTTTGTTAAATTTGGGTGAGAAGGAAGCGTTAACATCGACAACGAATACTTTTACGCAGTCATCTCTATCACAACGGTCGTCAAGTACTGTAAGCTGCAATAACATTTCGTTTTATGTCGGTCATGATATGAATTCAGGTACTGTGGAGTAGTAGCAAGGGGAAGGTATAGTTTTTCGAATCAGTTTTATCGCTTCTTATTCAATAAAAAAGCACTTCGTGTTTGAGATAGTAGCAGAGATCAGTCATCAGTCTCGGAAAACTACACCTCTTTCTTTTTTTTTCACTGACAGTAATTGAAAGTCTCCCTTCTGGCAAGTTTCCAGCCATTAGAAAATGAAACTTCACTGTGGAGCATCACATGCGAACATTAAATTAATAACTATAATACATGTTGTAGTTAAAAAGTAATATTTGAAAAGCTCATTATTCTTTATAATCATGAATTTTTGTGATCTGTCCAAAGATGTATAGTTCAAAGCGTTGCGATTGTCAATAATTTTATTCGTTATTGTCCATTCGTGCGTAAATTCTACAATACGTTGAAAGTTTGAGAAAAACGTATTTTAGAAAGTCACTGGAATTACCACTGTTTGCATTTGGATTGTCAGAAAAATGTCATTCAGCATTTCATTCTTTGATGTAATATGTGAGCCAGTTAGATAGTGATAGGTATAACGTTTAGAATAATCTAGCAATGTATGTTGTCTTATTCTCTCATTTCACTTCGTCATATAGTTCTCTTTTATTTTATGTGATGGATATTATGATTCTATAACAGTGTTTTTTATGGTATCGCTTTTCAACTTGTATTTTCCATAAAAGTGCTTATGTTGGAGAGAGTAGTCATCACTTAATGAAATTATTAAGACTTGTTGGCGAAGTCGTTTCGAATTGTTTCATGTGTTTCTATTTAATTATAAAATTCGTAATAATCAGGATCAGTTAGGTAGTGATCACTGTCGGCTAATAATTATTTTTGGTGTCCAGTGTGTTAGACAGGATGTTTGTATGTTATATACAGTTCTCAACGATGAAATTTACAACATTTCCATAATCAGCACAACAAAACGTTTGAAGAAATGAATTAATTGATAGTAACCGGAGTGTTTCTAGGGACTTATCGTATTTTAGAATGTTAGCGGTATAGGTCTTTGTTGCCTGTTGTTTCTTAGTCTTATCATTTGATCAAATACTTGGTCGTCATGAGATGAAGAAATTTGACCAGGTCTTGGTTGTTATCAGATGAAGGGAATTTGACAGGTCTTGGTTGTCATCAGTGAAATAAAATTACTGCTATTCTTAATAACGAAATGTGTATGTATACCATATGTCAGTGAAAAATGATCATGATGATACTAGGAATTTCACTTGAATTTCCAATGAAAAGTTTCTCTGATTTTGCATTCCACGCCAGTTAAAGCTTTTTGATTGAGTGTTGAATTTCATTCCTTATTCATCCTTCTCGGAGGATTCAATGGAAGTTCTGAAATTAATCACCGAAGCGGTCAAACTGTGCGGTCTGAAAGTTGCTAAATTATTGCAGGAATCAATCCGCTTCGGTATTAACCGTCATGAGCACTGAGATGAATCTTTAGAGTCGACTTCATCTTCGTCAATTGATGCACGGATTTGAGCCAGCCGAGCTTCTTGACGGTAGAAGTGCTTGAAATTCGCAACCTGAAAGTGCTTGAATTTTGCAACTAATAATAGTTATCTTTGTCATTATTTTCATTACAAAAATCTAAGAATTTTCAATCAAATTCTAAGTAGCTAATAGTGCTTTCATGCGAACATAGGTGTCGTCTTTGGATTTATTTTTATGTTTTTAGTCAATAGAATTCAACCAATTCATTGGTCTAAAATACTTACAATTATTGGTACAGGTAAGGCAAGTGTTAATACTCCAATTAATGCACATAAACCACCAACAAGCTTACCATAAACACCTGTTGGGGTTAAGTCGCCGTATCTGGAAAATACTATTTTGTTTGAGTAATTAGTATTTTTATTTAATTAGTGTCATTAAGTAATAAAAGCGCTTAACACTAAAGTCACAGTGTCATTAAACTAAAAAAAAATCAGATAACCAAAACGTTCGGACTAATGGTAAGCAGTGGTTATATTTATTTAAGTCATACTGACATTATAGCTTTGTTCAAATTGATAAATATAGTTTTAGTTATTTATAAAAGATCAATGTATTTCAGTTTTTTACAGATATTTTACAAAATATTGCAATATCTTTCAGGATGAGTCCATTTTTTCATTATTCTACAGTTTTTATGAAAAAATCGGCATTTTAAAAGGATCAAAATTCTATTAACACCAGAGGCAGTAGTTACTAATTATAATTTCATGACTTACTAAAGGTGATAGCAATGAAGGACTTACCCAACTGTGGTCATTGTAACCTGAAAAAATCATTTAAAATAATGATTAGATTTATGACAAACATTGGTAAACTTATTTTAGATGTTTACCTGGAAGAAAACAATTTATTCTTGGATAACTAATAGAATGTAAACGGAGAGTGAAAACAAAAACAACTTCACGAAGACTTACCAAAACAAACCAAAATGAGGCAGGGATTGAGGTAAATTTAGTATTTGGTTCACTTTGTTCAGCAAAATATACGCCACTTGAAAAGAGTACCAATGCAATTACCATAAAAAAGATAAGTAAGCAGAATTCTTGAATTGATGCACGAAATGTTTTGCCAAGAATTTGCAAGCCAACTGAGTGCCTGAAAATGCATCTCCTTCCATGATTATATTACATCGTGAATTAACATTTTGTCATCAGCTCATTGAAGCAATTCGCTACTTATTTATTATAAATAATAAGTAATTGGGGATTTAGCTGTAAAAGTTCATCATGCTTAAACTTTTTATGCGTAATATTCTCCGAGAAATAAAAAAACGGGAAAAATCAATGATGCAAAATTTTTAAAAATTTATGAGTAATTTTGCTAAATCGTAAAAAGTTTGAAAATATATACACGTTAATAGTTGCAATTATAGTTTTACCTACTGAGCTTGAATATTCTGAACACTCGTACTAATCGAAGAACTCGTAAAACAGCAAAGGACATAGATGAGGTTGACTTGGATGCATCCATCCTTCAATTTTCATCAAATATTTGCTTTGGGATTTAGTATAAATATAGAAAAATTTATACATCAAAATTACATTCTAGTAATGTAGTTGACTTTATGATGAATAAGTCAGAAAGAAGCAGAAAGTGAACTACAATATATCTCGAAATTCCTGAATTAAGAATAAAATTAAGATACCAGATTAAATTGGCGAAAAAAGGAGCAATTGCCACAAAGTCAATAATATTTAAAACGGAGCGAAGAAAATTAAATTTATTTGGACAGCTTATGAATCGTAATAACAATTCTGTAAATCACAAAAATTATAATACAACAACAATTGTTGTTTGTATTTTTTGAACTTATTATTAAATTTCATTTTAAGTTCTAAAATCATTAACCGAAAAGCAGTTATATGAATTATAAAGTAACAAATATTAGTAGCAGAGCTAATAATTGAATTTTTCCGCCATATATGTTTTGAGAATAACAAATAAAATTCTTAACTTCATGATTTAATCTTAGGAGTTCACTGTAGTTAAACTTTGACCAATTCAGGAAGATTAGTTTCTATTTATGTATTCTGAAGACAATATCAAGTATTCAGTACTCCCCCATAGTACTATTATTTCTATAAGAATAAATTTTTTTCATATTCCATTTAAACGCAATAGACAAAAATGAGACAATCAGCAATTTTTTTAAGATTTATATTTTAAGGAATCATATCTGTCATAATATAATTCCTTATAGCCTCAGTTAAGTACTGATTATCATGGTTTGGAACTTTTAGACTTTATGGAAGATGAAAAGTGCTAATTTCTAGTTTGTAAGTGACCTTTATTTACCAAATAACACCGGATATTACAATGAGTACATAGTCTTAAAGACTTGTATTCTATTCCATTTTATTAGCAAAATAACAAATGAATGAAGCAAGAGTAAAATTATCAGAAGTACATCTAATGCATTCCCTTCTGTATAAATTTTTTGTCATTTTAATTTTTTTCATTAAAAGTACTCAAATTAGTGAACTAACCAGCAGTAAACCAAATGATACAAAACAATTCCACATGGAAAAATGGATTAGACCAATCGCGCACGTCACTTGAAGTTGCTTTAATTGATGGCAGTGTTTCCAAGCAGAATGATATAATTGAGCTAAAAATTCAAAATTTTCAAGTCAATATTTAATTAAAAAATCAGTATAATGATAAATTAAATAGCTGACGAATATTAGGTGGACATTCATTGATAATCACTGAAAATATTTTGAATTGAGTAAATATTAACCTTAATAAAAGTAACTACATTTTAGCATTTTAGCAAAAGTTTAACAAGTTTCTACTTGTTGAACTTTTGCTAAAATGAAATAGCTGAAAAAAAAATCAACAAGCATACATAGTAATGACAAAAATAGATAACAGAGCGATTATACGAGCAAATAAGGATGAGTCCGGATATTCCATTAATTCCCATAGTTGCCGCTGAAATGAATTTTGTGGCATTTCGATCTCTTTAGGTTTCTCATAACCTTCACTGATCCAAAATTTTTCAAGTAATTCTTCACCCATCTGCAAACGATTACATCTATCATATTCGCATGCATAAACCAGATAGGTAATAAACATTATACTTCTTTTTATACAATTATGATAACTGATTATTTTTGACATATCCATCATGAATTTTAATACGCAAAAGTCTTCTTATTGCACAAAGCAAATATAATACAATATACTAGTAGTACTTACAATGATATTATAAGCAAAATTCAGCAGACTTAAGGCAAGTTTTAGTAATGTGTAATACTTTGCAAAAATCTTTAATAAATTTTACATTAAAATTTCTTGTTTGATAAAATATAAAATATTACTTCAAAAAACTTGAGCTCTTTCAAGAACATGTCGATTGGGACTGATTCTGGCCTCTTAACCATACCACCACTTTGATATATGTATAGAATTGATTCAAAACTGAAAAACTAAAATTGTTCTTTTCTGAAATATAACAGATTCCATCATATAACAGAATAACAACATATTTTAGTATATATCACACATAACAAAGATTAATATGCAAATCCTATGGATAAGACGCTGTAGATGAACAAATGTGATAAACCTTGTTCGATGCCTATCGAAGAAATATTCCTCATTTTTTGGATCCCAGAAACGATCACGTTTTGATGAATTACCAAGCAAAGTCAAAGGATATCTGCAAAGTTTTATTTACATCAAACATATTTCTCTTGTTCTTTTTAATTATTAGCATATATTATGACATATCTTTATTGTCTAACTATTCAAAGCTTTTATTTATGTAGTACACATTTTTTAATCAAATTTTACATGATACAAACAATGATAATTTATGACACAAGGATTTTGGCATTGAATTTGTAATCTAATTATGGCAACACATATAATTACTTTTTAGTACTAAACTAATAAAGCATGTCATTGAGAAAGATCTCTCAAAAGAATAAATAAAGACACTGCAGACAAAATTAAAAAAAAAATTGTTATAACAGAAAAAATAATTGAAAATTAATTAATTCGTTGTATTTTATAGCTGTTATTCTTTGACCTTTGAAAATATTTTACAAATAAGTATTCCAAACAAAATAAATGAGCAAATGATGAATTTTAGTCTTTTTTTCCGCTGTAATAGAATGATATCTTTATGATAAAGCATCTTTTATAAGACAAATGATGCAAAAATGCAAGTAGATCAAATTGGTCGAATTCAATTCAAGAAAATTTGCGATAGCCTAACCAAATTATTAACAGTAAGATCAAAAATACACATCTGAGATAATACAATTTCTTTTCATAAAGTAAATCAATTTGAACAAGAAGGCTACTTCCTTGTAGCAAAATACTTTTTGATGACAGTTTTTTTGAATCAATAACTACAAAAAGCAAAATGATAGTATTTGCAAAAAGGTTTAATATTCAGTGTTGGTGAGTATCTTATAACTTTTATAAAAATAAAAAATAAATTAAGACTTGAAAATATATTAAATACACTGCGCATTTTTTATAAAAATAGAACAATATTATTGATTACTTTTTTAACAATAATTTAAAGAAAAAAAATTTATTTACTGCTAATTTTTCTTAAAACTTCATAATGGTAACATTCTAATACTAAGGTTATGTAAGCTTTGTGGACTGAGTGTGTGAATATGGAGAGTAAGTAAAATCGAAAATTCACGATTTAACTTACCTTTCTAATGTTGATCCATATGTTTGAAACCTTAAACCAGAAACATTAATTGTGATCAAATTAAGCCCCATTTGTTTCGTTAAAGACGTTTCATTGTATATTACATTGATTGACTAAAAATATTATCCATAAATCGATCATCAATATAATGAACAAAATCCTTTCAAAGCAATAACTTGTTTAGACTAACAAAAACATCAAATTTAGATGAAATTAAATATAATATTAAAAAAAAAGGATAAAAAATGTGATTCACGAAGCAAAGTAGATTAGATAAACTCGATTGTAGCATCACATATTATTTTAGCAATCATTAAGATATGCATAAAATATAAAAATTATAATGCAAATAAAGTTTCTGAAATAAAGTTTCTCTACAAATCAACTCTGATTTTCACTAAGGTCAAAAATTAACCTCTTCTTCCGGAATAATGGGAAAAATCGAATCATTGTTCGGTTTGTCATCGTCTTCATCCTTATTTAATATATTCGCGGCTATGGGAGACCTTTAAATATACATCTATGCTTAAATAGAAGAAATTATTCTGCGTTGTAGTAGTCTTAAGTGGTTCAGGCTGCATGGTATATTGTACAGTTATTTTTTATCAGTCCAGTATAATGATTTTTGTTTATAGTGAAAATAACTGACTTATTTTTTGTTCCTTATTTTTACTTTTATTTTAAAAAAAATGCACAATACTAATGAATAAAACATTTTGAGTAAAATTCACTTTGAGAAAAATGTAAGCATGCTTGGAATTTTTTAGATGATTCAGCAATTAGTATATACTTGCAAGTATATTTTTTGTTAACTTAATTGAAGTAAGCAATTAATCAAAAAGTAAAAATAACGATATTGTAAAAATAACGATAATGAAGTGATGCTATCTGTGTGTTATTTCTTGGAATGATCTGTACCAAAAAAAAAAAAACAAACAAAAGTAATCAAAAAGTATTAATTAAAAGCTATAGAAGTATAATGATGAAGAAAATGCATAATGGATTTGAAACACAACGAGATTCCATAAAAGTTTTAGTGAGAATATTTTTGTTTGCTATGTTCAAATTTTATTTGTCTATCATAAAGTTTTATTATATGTAATTACATTTTGTTGATATAATTATTACGAACTTTTGTATCGCATTTAAACTCTATTGATGTAAACAAAATATTGAATGATTTTTATAGTAGTTCGTTCAGATTTTTAAATAAATTAATTCACTTACAAGAAGAAGTCAATTTAAAAGATTTAGAAATTACAACTATTTATTCTTATTTTTCTGGCATTAATATTTTCAAAATTTTCTGATTAATAGACAAAATAAAAAAGCATAAACAAAGTGTTACAATTTTAGAAGTTAATGAAATATTTAACTTATTAAAAAGTGAAAACTTGCAAAAAGTAAATTTCAAGTAATGTCTTTTTCAATTAAAAAAAAAAAGGTCATTACTAATATGAAATCGTGAAAATTTCAATGCAAGCAAACTACAATTAAACAATGTATTATTAGATTGATAAATTGTTTAGCTAAAAATGCACAAATAAAAAGTTTTTTTTTTTAAATCAAAAAAGTTTCAACGCTAACAAACTTTCATTCTAAAATTAAGTTTTGAGCAATCTTTTAAGTAAAGTAACTAACTTGAA